GCTGATGGCTGATCAAGCTGCAACTAATTTGCTATTTATGAAACAAAATACATTTTGTAATGCTAATAAACCAGGGAGATGGTTGGCTTATCAGTTAAGAAAAAAACAGAAACAGAGGAATATAGATAAAATAAATTATAATGGTAAATTGGTTTATCAGAAAGAATTGATTAAGAAATCTTTTTTAGAATACTATCAAAAATTATATAAGGGTACTAATATTCAAATTACAGATATAAATAATTATTTAGGCAAAGTTAACTTTCCTAAATTAACAGAAGATCAGGAAAAAAAGATTAACGGTTTAATTACTAAGGAAGAAATTGTTACAGCTATTAAACAATTGAAATTGGGCAAAGCGCCGGGTACGGATGGGTTGACATCTATTTATTATAAAGCTTTAGTAGAAGAGATGACTCAACCGTTGTGTGAACTGTTTAATAATTTATTACAGGGGTTAGAGATCCCTCCATCCTGGCGTAATGCATTTATATCATTGATTCCAAAAGATAGTCAAGATCTTACTTTGCCTAAAAATTATAGGCCTATATCTCTTTTAAATGTGGATTATAAAATTTTTGCAAAAATTTTAGCTAACAGGCTTATGGGGATCTTGCAGCAGTTTATACATAGGGATCAATCGGGTTTTATAACTGGAAGGTATATGAAGAATAACGTTAGACAAATTATTAATTTATTAGAGTATTTAGAAAAGAATAACCAAGTCTCTGCAGGCCTGATATTTTTGGATGCTGAAAAAGCCTTTGACCAAGTGAATTGGCAGTTTATGCTGTGTTTAATCAAGGAGATGAATTTTGGACAAAATATATTACAAGTATTATCCAATATATATCAAAAACAGACTGCTCAAATTATTGTAAATGGGGGTTTGTCAGAGGCTTTTGTAATAGAAAAAGGAACAAGACAGGGATGCCCGTTGTCTCCGTTATTGTTTGTTTTAACACTGGAAATTTTGTTGATTAAAATTCGGGAGTCTCAAGAAATAAAAGGAATAGAAATTAATAAAAAAGAATATAAATTAAGAGCCTTTGCAGATGACTTGGTTGTTACTTTGTCTCAACCTGTTTCTTCGGTGGTGAAATTATTACAATTGATTCAACAATATGGACGTGTTTCTGGCTTTAAAATTAATAATAATAAGACCAAAATATTAGCTAAAAATATGACTAATGGTGATAAACAGGCTTTAGTTAACTTAACAGACTTTGAAATCGTTGATAAGGTAAAATATTTGGGGGTTACATTATCTGCTTCTAATGTAAAATTGTATAAAAATAATTATGAAAAGCTGTGGATGGAGGTACAGAAGGATTTAAAAAACTGGAATAATTTACAGTTATCCCTTATGGGCAGAATTGCAGTTATTAAAATGAATGTCCTGCCAAAGTTTATTTTTTTGTTTCAAATGTTACCTATTTTAAAGAACGAACGTAATTTAGATGAATGGCAAAAAGGTATTAATAAATTTGTTTGGGCAGGGAAAAAACCAAGGGTGAAACTTAAAATAATGCAAGATTTTCGTGAGAGAGGTGGACTCAAGGTACCAAATATGAAATTGTATTATGATGCTGTAGTATTGACATTGATTAGCGACTGGGTGAATTTAACAAATACAGAAATACTTCATTTGGAAGGCTGGGACCTACTTTTTGGATGGCATGCCTACTTAATATTTAATAAAAAAGTGGATTGGGTTTTTAAGTCTCATATTATAAGAAACTCTTTGCTAAGAGTGTGGAGAAAGTATTATAAAAGTGACTTCAAAATACCATTATGGGCTATACCTCGGCATGCCATAGAAGGTATAAGGAAAGGGGTAAATATGGACAAGGTCTCTTACGTACAGTTATTAAGATGGGATGGCCAAGACTGGCAGTTAAAATCTTTGGAAGAATTAACACATGAAAATTTAACTTATTCATGGTTCCAATATAGACAAATAGTGGATAGATGGAAGATGGATTGTAAAATGGGCTGGCTTAGAGAAGATGAAATTTTTTTAAAACAAGTAAGAGATCAAAGGCCAACCCATATTAAGAGAGTTTATGGGGTTTTAGTGGAATTAGATTCAGAACTTGAACTAGTTAAAGATTGTATGATTAAATGGGCACAGAATATTGGTGAAACGATTTCAATGGATACTTGGGAACTTATTTGGATAAGAAATGTTAAATTCACACAAGCGCAAAATTTAAGAGAGAATTTTTATAAGATGTTTTATAGATGGCACCTTGACCCAAAGAAAATGTCCATTATGTACCCTAATCTACAGCCGAAATGCTGGAGATGTGGATATTTGGATGCTACCTATTACCATATTTGGTGGACGTGTAAGCATATAAAAGCTTTTTGGATTAAGATATGGTGGAATATTCAAAGAATTTTTAAAAGGAGGGTAAAATTTACTCCGCAATTATTTTTATTAGGTATTGTTATTGACTGTGATGCTAAGGAGGTTATATTGATGTTAAATTTGATTACAGCCGCTAGGTTGTTAATAGGACAATATTGGAAGAAGGAATCTTTGCCTACTTTACAAGAATGGTTTCATAAAGTTTCGTATTTGGCAGAAATGGCAAAGATTTCGGCTTTCTTAAAGGAGCAATCTCAAGAAAAATTTTTTGCGGTATGGGAAAAATGGATAAATTTTATACAACATAATTTGGATATGGAAAAATATTATTTAGCCTTTTTATAATTTGTAATGATTGTTTTTTCTTTCTTTCTTTCTTCTTTTTCTTTTTTATATATATACATTTTTTACGTATTATTATTCATATATTTTTTTTTATATATATATGCTTTATTCTTCGTCTACTTTCTTCTTTCTTCTTTCTCTCTCTCTCTTCTTTTCTTATTTCTTTTTTTTCTTTTTTAGTATATATTATTTATTTTAAAGTTTATGTTATGTATATTATTATTATATATATTATTACTGTGATTTTTATTATTATTATTAATTATTTTATAAATTGCAAATGTTATTTTTAAAATATTTGTTAAATAATCCTATATTCAGTTCTGGGAAGTCGGGGGGGGGTGGGGTGGTTGGGGAGGGGGGGGTGGATTCTTATTTGTAAAACTTTTGAAAAATTTCAATAAAAAAAAAAAAAAAGAAATTTAATTCAGATTACAGTTAGAAAAATGAAAACTAATACAAACCAACAAAAATATCAGAATGAAAAGGAAAAATAAAAATTCTTTATAAAAATTATAAATAAGTAATTTCCCCTTTCATCACAATAAGTATGAACAATTTTAGTAACTTATCACAGTTTCTTAAAATATGACAAATTTTCTCTTTTCCCCATATTTCATCTCTTAAGTATAAACAAAACTTAAAATCTCATCATTCATCCCTAGTCAGCAAAAGTTTATTAAAGGGTACAAAAGATAACATCGTATCTATTTTAAACTTGATCAAACAAGCAAACTCTATATTCCTTCTGTATTTTCAACCTCTTGGTTTTTATTCCCTTCAAATAATATCCTCAAAGTTTGTTTCTTTTCATTTTTTTCTTTGTCTCATCTCAGAAAAACCTTCAAATTTTTAACATATTTCTTTTGTAAATTTAATAAAAAAGTTGTTCTAATCAGTTTTTTTATTTGCATGCCCCTTTTAAATATTAAGATGTGAACCAATTTTATTTATGTATCCAGTATATTATCTTTTTTTCATATCAGTCTTGTAATTTGTCATTAAATCCTCATTCAAATCAATTTCATTCTTATCCAAAATAGCATGTTCTTCTACTGTAACATCTTTTGTATATCGTTGATCTATGATATTCAATATATTTAAAATTATTTTTGAGTCTTTTGTTCACAAATCTCCATAAACATATCCATTCTGTAGTAGCAAGTATTTTTTCCCTTTAATTGTAATCTTTAGGGGTTTTTTGTTCTGATTCCCTCTAATGTCTGACATTCAAAGTCCCATCTTATGTACTTTCCCCAAAAACAAAAACAATCACATTTTCCCAAAGGCAAGGGTTCTTATAATTAATTTCAAATTCTTATTTTAAACCCATCTGGAATCTAGTCTGGTTTTGATTTTCCAAAAGCAACACTCTAAATACCATTTTAATGTGAATGTGATAAAAACTACACGTTCCAGAGGTTCTTAATATTTCAAAAGGAATAAAAAATAATTCCAAAGGTGATTAAGAAATTATGTTCAGTTGAGCTTTTTGTCTATAAAGGCCACATTATTACTGTGAATTTAGATGTAATCCTTTGACTTTCAGTCATTTATGGGCAATTTCACAAGTTCTCCTTTTTCCAGAGAGATTTTGCTAGTCATGATCCAGCATCCTAGCTTACTGTGGCCTCACTAAAAAAATCTCATTATTGTGATTCTCACATTGTAGGTATGCTTAATTACTTTTTATTATATATTAATTATATGTGTGAGTAAATCAATTGTGAAAACTTAACAAATGTCTTTCAAAATCTTTTGGGTACTAGAATAAGGACATCTTAAATTATTTTGCAACTTTTACTCAGAAGGAAACAGACATAATTTAAAAACAAATCTTAACATTTCAAAATGCAACAATATAGATATATCATCTGACTTTCCAGTTTGTTCGTAGAACAATGATTTCACTTTTTTCCTCAATCCAGTTCAGCTATGGTGATTTTGCTCCTGTGATGAGGGATCAGTCCCATTTTGTTTCTCTATACCAGCTGGTACCAAATGAAATTCATCAGTACAAGGGAATTGTCCAGTTACTTCTGCATTTCAGATGGAAATGGATATGCCTAATGATCTTCAATGATGATGGTGGAGAACTTTTTTGAAGAACATGCTTCCAATACTTTTTCAAAATGGCATCTGTCCTGCCTTCATTGCAAGAATTTCTGTATTAGTTTTTTTCGAGGATTATGCAAATGCACAGATAAAATGGCACAAAATATTACTAGATGTTATAAAGAGTGAGGCTAATGTTATTTTTGTCCATGGAGAAACTAGGACCATGTTATCATTGATGATCGTGCTGAATGCAAGACATACTGATGATGAGAAATTGTTTGGTAAAGTATGGATTATGGCAGTGCAGTTGGATTTTGCAGCACTGGTCTTACATAAGGATTTGGATCTAGAAATCTTCCATGGTGATTTAGCCTTTACACCTCACACCCATGAGATTCCAGGATTCCAGCCTTTTCTTCAGAGCCTAAATCCCTTTCTGGCTAAGAAAGATGGCTTTATTCAGACATTTTGGGAACAGGCATTTGGTTGTTCCTTTCTAAATGCCAATGTTCAGGAGAACATTGACAACAGATGCACTGGAGAAGAGAGGCTGGAAAACTTACCTGGGCCTTTCTTTGAAATGAGTATGACTGGCCACAGTTACAGTATTTACAATGCAGTCTATGCTTTGGCAAATTCTATACGCATCATTGATTCAAGCATTTCAGGCTTCAGAAGAACATTTGCCAAAAGAGAAATAGAAAATGGAATTCTGCAGCCTTGGCAGGTAATAGCTGTTAAAAATCTATGACAAGGTCTAAATTAAGAAATCATTACAATGGTTATTATAAAAAGTTATTACTCAAATGAGTTTTTAAAGATTGCATGTTAATAAAGATAGATATCCTGTCTTAATATTCTGAAGAACATATTGGCATGCAATTCCTCCACAATAATCTTCAATGTCATTTACAGTTATTTTTATCTTGAACTTTTGTACAAATAATGGGATATTTCTTATTTCACTTTGAAGCTGTCATTTGAATAATTAATATTCAGAAGATACATTCAGATGTCCCAAACTTTCCAAACTTCCTTTTTCTAATCATCCAATAGACATGTCCATGTAGTCATCAGGACTTGAATTTTTATTGATGTATTATTGGATTAATATATCTTGTTTTAACCATTATGGAGCAGAGAGGTTTGCAACATTTAAGTAAGCATGCCTAGAATTATGCTGTAACTACGCCATAACTAAAAAAATCAGCTCTCTAAATTGAAATTATTATTCTAAACTAGTTATGAATTTTGTTCTTCTAGCTCCATCACATACTAAAGAACTTCTCATTTAACAACACAGTTGGAGAAATCATTCACTTGAATGAGCATGGAGAATTTACCATGGGGTTTGATATTACAAATGTCATAACTTTTCCTAATAAATCCTTTGCTAGAATAAAAGTTGGAAAAATGAATCCCTGGACAAGTCAAGTTACAGAATTCAGTGTCAATGAGGATTCTATCATCTGGCCCAGCAATTTTAATCAGGTGGGAGTTTCTTGACATTTCTAGGATAAAATATTCATTTATAAAAGATTTTCAACTGCTTCTAAAAATGATCTTATTATTATACAATTCTTTGCATGTTTATCAGCTAACTAATCCTACCTAATGAATGGAACATCATAGGGATGAAATAAAACTTATAGCAGCCATATAAATAGTGAATCCATTGGTAATCTAAATTAAATTAATCTTGATTGTCTAAAAAATATCACTAAGTGTATTACAAATTATGTACAGCAACTGTTGCTACTGTCTTGGGTATATAAACTAATGGAAATCACATCAGAATGCCTCCTCAGATTCTATTGTTCTGAAATCCAAGAAAACAATATTCAGAAAAGTGGTGTTTTCATAGGATGAGAGATCATATTTATTATATTTAAAATCAAAGAGTCTGAAAATGATTTGCTTCTTGGTAGTATTATCCTCATTCTATTCAAACAGGTAACACCTGTTTCTCTCTGCAATTGCATCTGCCCTCCTGGTTATCATAAGAGAAAGAAGGAAGGGAAGCCATTTTGCTGCTATGATTGTGTTCAGTGTCCAGAAGGAAAAGCTTCTCCCCAAGCAGGTATAATATTAAGCCTTTTCTGTAGATCTGTTCTAATAAAAGAAATGACATAAAAGTGGCAATTTCCTTCACCCTTAATTTTCTGTTTATGCTTACATATGTAAGAAGAATACCTGGTCAATTCATGAAGAATTATCACATTCTAATGTTCTGAAGATAATTCCCTTCAGTAAGTTTTGCTGGGATCTCTTGGAATTCTTATCTTAATCTTTCATTTCCCAGTTGATGGCATCACGAGGTATCTAAGCGTTTTTCAGATACTCCCATTCCTCCAAGCTCTGTGGGCAAAGTACTACTATGAGCAATATTTAGGGGGAAAGAGGGGTAGTAGTCAAGTTGTTATGATATTAGCACACAGGGATAACCATACCAGTTTGAATTCTGATCCTTTAAAGCAGGGGTGCCAAACTGCCAGGCCACAGGCCAGTTGCATCATGCAGAGATCATGCCCACCCCAGCTCTGGCAATGTGAAAAAAGTCAAGATATGTCACAACTCATCACATGACAAGGCAAATTTGACACCTATGCTTTAAAGCAGGGATTTCAAACTGCCAGCCCCGCAGGTCGGATGCATCATGGCAAAACCGCACCCATCCCATTGCTGGCAATGGGAAAAAAGTCACAATATGTCATGGCATGTCACTTGACATTGCAAGTTTGACACCCCTGCTTTAAAGAATATCAAGTACATATCTTGGCATACAAAGCTTACTCATATATGGCTTGATAATATCAAAACTGATACAAAGATGACATTGAACAACTGAAAGAAGCTGTGCTTGACAGTGTAGCAAGGAAAGCACTTGCCTATAAAGTTGCCAAAAGTCAGACATAAATGAATAGTTAAAACATTTACAATTCAACTTTTCTTTCCCTTAGACATGGATTCCTGCAACATCTGCCAAGAAGATTATTATCCAAACAAGAAACAAAATCAATGCATTCCTAAGATGTTTTCCTTCTTGTCTTATGAGGAATCCTTGGGAATGGGGTTAGCCATTTCTGCATATTTCTTTTTTTTCATCACAGTTTGGATATTATGGATTTTTATAAAGTATCGCAACACTCCTATTGTCAAAGCCAACAATAGGAGCCTCACTTACACCCTCCTTGTTTTCCTTCTCCTCTGCTTCCTATCTTCATCGGTCTTCATTGGCCAACCTCAGAAGTTGACTTGTCTCTTCCGCCAAATGACTTTTGGAATCATTTTTTCGGTGGCTGTTTCATGTGTGCTGGCAAAAAACATTACTGTGATTGTTGCTTTCCTTGCCACCCAACCAGGATCTGGAATGAGAAAGTGGATGGGAAAAAAACTAGCCAATGCTATAATTATTTTCTGTTCTTCTATCCAAGCAGGTGTATGTCTTATTTGGTTGGCTACAACTCCCCCTTTTCCTGATTTGGATATGCACTCAATGGCTGAAAAAATTGTGTTAGAGTGTAATGAAGGCTCAACTGCCATATTCTATTGTGTCCTAGGATACATGGGCTTCCTAGCTTTTGTGAGCTTCCTTGTGGCTTTCTTTGCCAGGAAGTTACCTGACAGTTTCAATGAAGCCAAGTTCATCACCTTCAGCATGTTGGCCTTTTGCAGCATTTGGTTATCCTTTATTCCTACATACTTGAACACTAAGGGAAAATACATGGTGGTGGTGGAAATCTTCTCTATGTTGGCTTCCACTGCTGGACTGCTGGCTTGCATCTTTTTCCCCAAATGCTACATTATTTTGTGGAGGCCAGAACTAAACAAAAGAGATGAAATAATAAAGAGAAAAAGATAAAACAAGCTATTTGTGGGCTTTCCTAAATTATAGGTATTTGTTGCAGGTGATAAAACATAGCACACTGTAGCATTCCCTGAGAACATGACTTGGAATGTTGTGGTTATGTCAAATTATTCTATTTAGTCTTCCTCTGCTGGTCCCATGGGCATTTTATCAAGCCAGCAAATATCTTCAGTTGCAATATTTTATTGAATGATTGATTCATCTAATTGACAAATGACCTATGTTAGATGAAGTTTATTAGTATAAATTTGATAAATAAATAATATATGCCACTCATCTCACCAAAAATAACTGGGTGACAGACAATAATCAGATAAAACAGCAATGTAAAAACCACAGATACAAAATATAAAAAACATATTGATAAATAGCAATATTTATGTAACTTTATGTTTATGTAAAATATTATGGTGCACTTAAAAGTAAAAAAATAAAGGCTAGAATACAAGCAAAATGAAGTCAGTTTGATATTTGTCAGGAAAACTTAGTATTGCTATGAGTAATGGATTTGAGAATTTATTTGGATCTAACATTTTGTAATTAAGTAAATTGACTTTCTCAGCCTAAAATATTGATAATAATCTGTTTATTTGGGTGATGTACATCCAAAGAACTTTTATTAAAAATGTGGACTGATTGAAATACAATTTTATGCATCCTTTGAAAACACACATTAATGCAGATTAATGGCAAAACAAGAGTCAAGAAATAAACAATACAGTGTGTATTTTTATGTTACAGTGTTGTAACATAATCCATGGCATGAAAAGGGTATTACTGTTGCAGCTTTTCCCTTGGCATCTGTCCCACTCTGTCCTAACTAAATTGAAAGCACAAAATACCATCTGCTCTATGAGTGACCTCTCCCAGTTCCCATAAGAGCCTTGAGGAACAGATAATAATCAAAGGGAGTGTTCATAGTTTGATTGCCTGTTGAAATATAGATAGTCATTGACTAACAGTCATTTGTTTAAAAACCATTTGAAGTTACAATGGCAGTGGAAAAAGACACTTATGACTGATTCTTTCCTTATGATTGTCCCAGTTACCTCGCGATCACATGATTAAAATTCCAGCACCTGGCAACCACGTTTATTTATATTGATTGTAGCATCCCAGTGTCACATGATCACAAATTTGCGATCTTCTCAGATGACTTCTGACAAGCAAAATCAATGGAGAAAGTTAGATTTGCTTAGCAACTGTGTAATTCACTTAACAAGTGCAACAATCCATTTAACAACCATGGCAAAAAAAAGGTTGTAAAATTGGGCACAACTCACTATTCTTGCTTAGCAATGGAAATTCTGATCTCAATTGTGGTTATAATTGGACTGACTACCTGTAAGCAACTTTGATGAAATTTCTGAAACAAATGCTGTAGAATTGTAGATAAACTCATGTAAGGCTATTTTTTCAACTAAAAGTGCTAGAGAAACGATTGAAGCCTGGGAAACCAGCCCTTTGTCAGTCAATAGGATTGCTAATTTACCAGCTTACTAGATACTTGGGACCCAAGGAAACAACTATCAATGACTTAATAGCTGCCCATCAAGATTGTAAATCATGGTCTGTATTTGGCACATAGTTCATTCATCGTAATGTTTGAAAATTCTGCTATGCTGACTTGATTCTTTTTAAAATCACAAGCTCTTTACAGATTGATTTCATAAATTGCAATTCTTGCAGATTTTCTACTTAATAAGTACTACCATGGAGGTAAGTTACTTTTTGGTCTGAAGTGAACTGCGACAATCTTGAAGTTTCTTGCAACGTTTATGAGAGCCTCCTTATCCTTTCTCTCTTCTGTTACAATGAAAAAAATGACTTTTCAGAACATTCTAAAACTTCTATCCGGATGGAAAAGGATTGTAATAAACTAAATAATCTAATTGTTATAAAAAGAGGACTTAATTCAGATCTTTCACTTCACATGACCATTATTTTTGAGAATCTAAAAATGGGTAAAATATGATTCTTGTCAAGAGGGTCTTTATTTTACTTTATTGTTCAATCATTCAATCATTTCTAACTCTCTCTTCTAATGAAACCATTCCACCAGGATTACTGTCAGTATTTTCTTTTTCATTTTCTTTCAGATTTTTTGCCTTCTGTTTTTCAAAGCCCCAGCCTATTTTTAATGCTTTTACATAATGTATCTAATATATTGAATTTTTATTTTTGTTGTTACCACTTCAAGTGAACACTTAGTTTTCCTTTAACTATTACTGAAATACTTCTTGTGCTTGGAGATGTTCTAAACAATATTCTCCAGTGCTACAGTTCAAAGGCATCTTTTCATATTAGTTAATCCATTCTCATAGACTTTTACAACTTTATATACAACTATGGACAGACACAGTCTCAAAATTGTGCACTATTGTGAGTACAGTCTTTATCCCCATGAGATTTGGAACCTAGGAAAATTAGGTTTGTTTTCACTTCAGACTCTTAGATTAAATTGACTATGCCTGCTTTTTAATATTTTCCAACAGACTAATTTGCACTCTCTCACCTTCAGTGTTCTAAGTGCTCTATACATCCAGCCACCAAAGTGATATCAGCATAGATCATAAGTGACATCATCAGCATAGGATTGGTTTGATTCTACTAAATTTGAGGAAGTTAACAAGATCCTTCAGAATATAAATGCCACCACCATTTTAAGGAAGTTGGCTGAGAAGACAGCGGCATTGTAACTCCAGAGGTTCATGGAGGAAACAAATTATTTGGATCCTTTTCAATCATTTTTCAGGCCAGGGTATGGAGCAGAAACAGCATTTTTTGCTCTCATGATTGACCTCTGGGGAAAGTCGGATGGAGATGATGCATTCATCTTTGTCTTCTTGATTTCTTGGCAGCTTTTGATACCATAGACCATGGTATATTTAAAGCTGTCATAGGGAGTTTGGGATGGGTGGCAAACTTTGTTCTAATTCACTTTTTCTTCTAAGTCACTTCCAATCAGTATTGATAGAAGCAAGAAGTCCAACTCATGGCCCTTTTTGTGGGGTACAACAGGGCTCAGTACTTTCTCTTCTTCTTTTAATATCTGCATGAAACCACTGGGTGAAAGTGAAAGTAAAAGCTTCAGGTATAGGTAATTCCCCAGATATGACTGTTTATTTAGTGAGATTTCACAAAAATGAGATATTCAGAAAGGGTACTTACAATAGAAATTCAAAATTGCAATCAAAAACAGGCCTCTGTAGCCATATGACTTGGATTCAGTCTCAACTGCTGCGGTGGCCATTTTAACTCTGTGACTTGTCTGGGCCTGTTCAGACCTACGAGAAGCTGGAAGTGGTGTTTTGTTTGTTTGTTTGTTTTTGTGCCTGGTCACATGGCCAAACAAGATCTGGTGATTTTTGCAGCCAGCACCAACCATTTGTTTTTGTTTTCCTGGAGCTACATGGAAGATCTGCTGCTTGCTGGGCTTGAGGACTACTGTAGAGAGCTAGAATTACTTTTGTAAGTATTTTAAAATATTCTTTTTTGTTACTTTATATTATTATACTGTTTTGTTTATAATCAGTTTGGGAACTGCTCTGCTTTTTATTGTGTTTGTAAGTACAGTACTTAGTACTTAGCAAGATTGTTTGCTTGCATTTGCATGAAACTTATAGCATGTAGCTGCTGCTGCCTCCTAGTTCAAACCCACCAGAGATTCTGCCTAGAGAGGCTTGTGCTGATCAGGGGCAGTGTGTGTGTGTGTGTGTGTGTGTGTGTGTGTGTGTGTGTGTGTGTGTGTTCAAAGGTTTTAAATTTAAATTTCCTCCAGAAGTTGTGGGTGTTCTCTCACTGGAGGCTTTAAGAAGAGACTGGATAGACATTTTATCAGAAATACAGTACAGTACTGTACTCTTTTGTGAGAGCAGTGGGTTAGACTAGATGACCTCAAGGTCCCTTCTATCTCAGTTATTGTTGTAAGCCAACAGTTCTGTAAACTCCACCCCCATCTCCCTCTGCATGCCTACCTGGAGATGCTAAAGCTAATTACTTTAGTGGCAAATGCAATCATAGAGTTCTCCACCTCCCTCTGAAGAAGCTTGAGCTGCCTAGCAACAAATGCTTTTTAAAAAAACCTGCTGCCTGCTTAGGAGGCAATTTACAGTATTGTAGTTACTGAAACCGGAAACAGTTGTTTGGCGGCTGGAAACAGCCTGCAGCAGTGGTGGGAAATGTCTCTCAGTTCAGGTAGCCATCAGTTGACTTCCAGTTCTGGTTTGCGGTGACTGTGGTCGTGTGAAAAGACTTGTCTCTTCGCTGGCTGATTTTCCTTCACCGGTAGACTCCGAAGGGGGTTGAAAGTTGCCCTGGAGGGGCGACCACTGAGGAGGAGGCTTTCTGGTGACTGTGGGAAGGCAGCAGCTTCTCCCGCGGTTCCAGCTGACTCCTTACGGCCAACAGATCAAAGATCGTACTGCAAGATGGCCGATCATCTAGCTGCACCAGCCGAAGTCAAAAGAACAGCTAAGCGTGAAGAAACCACTGCGGAGAAATCTGGGTGAGACTTTTTTTTTCACCTCTTACCCCCAACTAATTTTTCTGCAAATAGCCTTTGGATGACTTTCTTGCCCTAAGAAAGCGGGTTCGTCTATTTGGGGAAAAATACTTTGACTAAAACTATAAAACAGCATTTATTTGACTTTTAATTTTTTGGATACTTGGGACCCCTGGAAAAACTTGTATTATAGAACATTATTCTACTTACTATATCGGAGATACTTGCTTCTTCCTGCCTCATTCTTCCTCACTCTCAAAATGAGGTAAAAGCTTTTAACTTGGAAAGAAAAAAGTTTCTAAGCTCACTGAGGACATCTTGTGGTGAAAAGTGTTACTGCAATTGTAATGTTTTTAGATGTTTGAAGATGGATTTGATCTTCAAATAATAATAAAAGAAGATAAAGGCTTGGAAATAGCTGTGGGTTGACTTTGTGATCTAGAAACTGTGAAGGTGGACATTTATTGGTTTTTAATAAATATAGCTTTCACTAAAAGACTAAAAGACTATTTTACTATGGAAATGGAAGAATCTCACCCACAGCTTGATTATGAGCTTATACTGGAAAAAATATTGGAAACTACGGAGCATATGAAATCATGGAGAAAAATTAAAGATCATTTTGCAGAACCGCAAGATGAGCCTCAAATTTTAAATGATCAACCTATAGGCCAAGAAGAAGCCTATATGCAAAAATGTACACAATTTAATGAGATGGAAAAAGAACCTACTGACCAATTGAATTTTAGAAAAACTTTGGACCCAAAATCCCAGACGGAGACTTTAATTGATCACTCTACAAGTCAACTAATTACTACAGAAGAGGATATCTCACAGGTTTATGTACAAACTATGGAGAACTCTGAAGATCAAAGAATGATTTCAACTGAAACACTCTTACTTTTAAAACCAACAGGAACTGACTTCCAGATGTGATCTATTGAAAGTTATGACAATTTGGATAATCAAGCTATAATCATAATATGGAACAAAATTGATTATATTACCTACATGATATTGGAAGATGGGGAGGAGAACTTTGACCAGAATGATTTGTTGATATATACCAGTACTCAAATATGGAGATTTGATGACATAGATGCGGCATCATGGACACTAGCTTGGCACAGAAAAAAAGCCAGAGTTATATTTAAAAATGTGATTTAAACTCTCACTTACTGGGTCAAAAAGGCTTTAAAGATCCAGACTGATTTGACAATTAATGGAGTATGTGAAATGAGTAAGATGATAATTTGTGTAATGATATGTTTGTCTTAGACATGATAACTATTTTGGTTGAGAGTTAAATTTTATTTAATGGGCTGAAATGTTTCTTTATTTTTTATTCTGGTTATATAGAAAATTATTTTGTAATAGAAGAAAAACTAGAGAGATTTACGATAAGAGAAGAAAGGGTATTAACCAATGATCTATTAAATTAAGAAATGGAATATATGTGAAAATACTAGAATGTTATTGTTGGAATATTATGTATGTTGTAGAAGGGATACCCGAAGTCTTATTAATATGTTTACTTAAGATGAATTTGAATATGTTAATTGAAATTAGTGAAGCTTAAAGCAGGATGATGATCATTTGGACTGATTGAATTTTATGAAGAAATAGATTAAACTAAATTCATTATATCATGTGAGGGAAATAGAGAGGGAAATCTTTAATGTACTAACTTCAGTTATATATGTATGTTATATGTGTGTGTGTGTGTGTGTGTGTGTGTGTGTGTGTATGTGTGTGTGTGTGTGTGTGTGTGTGTGTGTGTGTGTATAGGTCTTTGGTTGTTCGGGTTTTCTCCCGTGTAAAATTGGAAGTGTCTTGGCGACGTTTCGACAAAGTCCCATTCATCATCTTCAGGCTGGTGTTTTCAGCTTCGTGCTTCAAGGAGCACGAAGCTGAAAACACCAGCCTGAAGATGACAAATGAGACTTCGTCGAAACGTCGCCAAGACACTTCCAATTTTACGCGGGAGAAAACCCAAACAACCAAAGACCTATATACAAACACCCGCGAAAACCTCAGAATATATATATATATATATATAATATATATGTATAGGTCTTTGGTTGCTCGGGTTTTCTCCCGCGTAAAATTGGAAGTGTCTTGGCGACGTTTCGACGAAGTCCCATTCGTCATCTTCAGGCTGGTGTTTTCAGCTTCGTGCCTCGAGCGGGAGAAAACCCGAGCAACCAAAGACCTACATACAAATACCCGCGAAAACCTCAGAAAACATATATATATATATATATATATATATATATATATATATATATATATATATGGATGATTGATTTCCCCTTCACCACGGTGTTTTCCTTTGAAGAAAGGAGGAAATAGTAAGTCAAATCTTTGTTCATTTGACAACCCATTTGATTCAATTAATGCATTCGATTTTAAAATGTTCTAATATTGAGTCTGATTCATTTGACGATTATGAGCCTAATAGGTAGGCTCTAATAGGCTCGTACTTCAGGGACTGACTGTATTACTTCAAAAGTTCACCAAATCATTCTTACCATTTCAAATTATACTATCCTTCCCAGAACTCAGCTAAGGATTATGTTATTAGAAATACCTAAAAAAGATAGTGGCTTCTGAATTGGAATATTTGAATAATTTAATATTATTCTAGATTATTATAAATTGAAATTTCTGTTTAAGTGTTTCTCTTTATCAACTGTTCCTTGATGTTCAGTTTAGGTTTTAGGATAATGATGTAACACTTAGGGAAAAAGATACAGCTTAATAATCCAGCACCAGATGCTAAGATAGAGAAGATCTCCACAGCCACCATATATTCTCCATTAGTGCTCTGATATGAAGGAATGAAGGACAGCCAAACACTGCAGAAGACCAGCATGCTGAAAGTAATGAACTTGGCTTCATTGAAACTATCTGGCAACTTTCTAGCTAGGAAAGCCACAGTGAAGCTGACAATAGCCAAAAATCCCAAGTAACCAAGGACATAATAAAACATACCAAGTGATCCTTCATTGCATTGCACTAGAATTGCTCCAGGGAGGGAATACATATCAAACTCTAGGAAAGGAGGATCTACACATAGCCATACAGCACAAATACTAGTCTGAATGAAAGAGCAACCAAATAGGATGAGAGTGGTCAATCTTTTCCCAACCCATTTCCTCATCCTAGATCCTGGCTTGATGGCCATAAAAGCTACAACTACAGTTATTGTTTTTGCTAATATACAAGAAACAGCCACTGTGAAGGTGATACCAAAAGTAATTTGTCGTAAATAGCAAGTCACTCTTTGTGGCTGGCCAATAAATAATAAGGAGCAGAGAAAACAAAGCAGTAAGGAAATGAGCAGACAGTAGGTGAGGTCCCTGTTGTTGGCTTTGACAATGGGAGTGTTTTGGTTCTTGATAAATATTCCTAGTATCAGAATTGTGAGCAGAGGAAAAAAGAGCACCAAAAATGTTAAACTAATCCCCAAAGGATGCAGGAAAGAGAGAAAACGTAATCTCTTGACAATACAGTGATTTTTGCTCTTATTTGGAAATTGATCTTCTGGGCACTTGAAACAGTTGTCCATGTCTGAAAATAAATATGTGGAGATATAATGTAATGAACTGAATGGCCTTTTCTGCTAGATTTTACATAGAAACTTTATTTCAAATATGAATAAAAATTGAAAAGAACAGAAGTTAACTCTGAAATGGTAGAATATTAAGCCTAGCTGATTCTCCCTTCATTTTGTCTTCATATTACCCTGAAGTTAAGAAGCTAATTCTATGATCTACTACTTTAGAAGTATATACATTTAACTGTATAGAACTGACCTAGTGAGAAACTGATATCTTCTTCACCTCTAACTGCAGAGTGGAGTGATATCAAACAATAATAATAATAATAATAATAATAATAATAATAATAATAATAATAATAATATAAAGTTGGAAAGGGCCTTGGAGGATCATTTAGTCCAACTCCCTGCTCAAACATGTTCTGTATTCTAAGCTTACTGCAATCAGAATTTCACTAGCATCTTTATTGATTTCCAATTACAGTTTGTAATAATTTATTGCCTTGATCCAAACTCTAAATCAAAGATAAAGATTCATGGTTAAACTTACTTTCACAACATAATGCATTCTATATACAGTATTCTCAAAGGAGTCATGCACTTTATATATTTTGATATGGCAAATGTCTTTGCCAAATGCTGTAAATTTTCTACAAAGAAAGAAGTAATCAACTTGATATTGAAACTTTTGACTGTTAAATAGCTCTTTCGAAGTGATATATTATAGAAAGAGGAAGATATCTGTCCTATATAAATATTAGTAAATGGCATTGTGTATAAAGTCAACAAATGTTGACATTGGCACTGTAGGTTTCTACTGGAAGAAGAAAATCTTAATTTCTGCCACTGAACTGAAATTTTCTGGTCAGTTATTTCTTTTGTCTTAGGGTATCCATCCACCTATCTATCTATCTATCTATCTATCTATCTATCTATCTATCCAGTGCTTTAAAAAAAGGTACCAGAACCCACACACATCATACAACCCGCCTTGCCTACCCTACAAGTTTTCATCCAAAAAAGGTGCCGGAACTCCGTTCTGGGCGTTCTATGAGAAAAAAAGGCCTGTATCTATCTATCTATCTATCTATCTATCTATCTATCTATCTGTCTGTCTGTCTGTCTGTCTGTCTGTCTGTCTGTCTCTCTCTCTCTCTCTCTCTCTCTCTCTCTCTCTCTCTCTATCTATCTATCTATCTATCTATCTCCATCTGTCTCCATCTATCTCCATCTATCTCCACCTGTCTCCACCTATCTCCATCTATCTCATCTATCATCTACTGGTACTTACCTACCTAACTTCTGATTGATGATGGTGACTTGTTTCCACAAAGTCTGATAAACATATCTTTTTTGTAAATGCTAGTGATTGAATACATATTTTAATAGTTGGTATAAATTGTTTAACATAAACTGTTTTATGTTTTACTATCAGTGTCCATTGAATTTGTAATTCATAATTTATTATTATGTCTCCTACCCTTCTGGTTTGAAATCTTCCCATCTGGACAGGGAACACAATAGTAGCAGCAGAATGGTTCTCCTTCTTTCTTTTTTTGTCTGTAACCTGGATGGCATTTCTCATTACACAGAGCAACAGGAAGGATCTAATCATATCGCAAAGAAATAAATAAACATGTCCTTGAAAACATAGTCTACTTGCTACAAAATATTTTTTTTTTAATCTGTAACTGAGTTGAAAAGATAAGCATCTGGGTGAGTTTGAAAATTCATCATTAGTTCAATGACTACAGCTCCCTAATCAGATAAGCAAATAACAGGTAATCATCCCAGGATTTCTCCAGTCTTTAAATCCCCAAAATATTGAATATTAAACTAGAGATACAGCTATTAAAAAACAAAGGAAAATTTTCAAAGTTCTCCTTTAACTGAATTCTGACCACTCTACATAAAGGATGTAACCCTTAATCTACATACTAAATATAACAAATCATCTTTGGCTATCTAAAGATTGGACACCCTTGTCCAAATGAATCTGATTTTATATTGTATATCAAAAAAGTGAGAAAGGAATACCTTCTAAAACAATTTCATGTTGTTTAAAAGGAGATATTTTTAAACAAATCAAGAGAATATTTTTTTCTTTTTTCCTCGTCCTTGCCAGTCTATAGCTGACTTTGATTTAGAGTTAAAGGCTATTTGTTCTAAATGATAGCTTATTATATATTCACCAATTTACCTCTAAACTCTACTGAGTAGAAATCATTTATGAATTACAAAGACTGGGGCACTTTCCCATTTAGCTTTCCATATCTGAAATTCTATTTGTACTTTACCTGATTAAATGAACTATGCCATATAATGGTCTCTTCATGAACAGTTAATTGATAACCACTTAAAGCTTGTGGATCCAGGTATCCAACTTTCATACGAAGAAAGGATTTGTTTGGGAAAGTGATCCAGTTGATAACATCAAACCCAGCTACCAATTCACTATTCTCATCAAAAGATATGGTGTCTCCAGCACTATTGTTAAATGAGATGGTCCTCAGAAAATAGTGAAGCTAAAGTGAAAGAAGCAAACAGTTTTAAAACATTGTAACTAGAGAAAAAAATGTCTCTTGGTTAATGCCATTTATATAATTTACAAAATGGAGAAACAGGATGTATGCTCAATCCTTCATTTTAATAAGTACTTTTTCTCAATACAATATTGTTAAATATACTTTAAATATTAATTAAGAATATAAAACAGTTACCTATTTGAATATAAATTATTTTATCTAAACTGTTTCAGTTTATGTGACTAGTCATTAAAAGGATTTGAGAAACTCACAAGAAAAATGTGAATGTAATAAGACCTTAATTTTCATATATTTCAATAATTTTCAGTAATTTCACCCAATAATTGTTCATTGGCATCTATAGAAAAAGAGCAAGGGATACAAATGATAAAATGTTCATGATTTCCTAATGTAAATTTCTTCTCTTAAATATGTGTATGTAACATCATGATGCAAATATAAAAGGGTGACAAATTTGTCACATCACAAGAGCTGTTCCAACATTTTGGCACTAGTTTGGTCTAGTAGTTTAGGCACCACACTAGAAACTGAATTCTAATCCCACACCCAAAGCTGTCTGGGTGACTTTGAGTGAGCTCATTCTCTCACAGCCCAACTCACTAAGAGGGGTGTTCTGAAGAAAAGAAGAGAAAGAAGTTGTAGGTACATATCATCTTGAATTATTTATAAAAATAATAAAGTCGAGAACTTAAAAAGTCTAACCATTTTGACTAGCTACAAATATTTTTCTGTTTACTACCAAGAAATCCAACAAACTATACTGTTATTATGATCAGGAAACATTTGTAAAAAATATTATTATTATTATTATTATTATTATTATTATTATTATTATCATCATCATCATCATCATCATCATCATGAATGCTTTTTTTCTAAAAAAAAAAAAAAAAAAAAAAAGATGCCAGAACTCACACACGTCATACAACTTGCCTTGCCTACCCTACAAGGTTCCATCCAAAAAAGGTGCCGGAACTCTGTTCTGAGTGTTCTATGAGAAAAAAAGCCCTGATTGTTCTTGAACATCTAGGGATTTTTTTGAAAAAAAAAATAGGATACAATCTCACCCCATCCCAGAATACTGCAAGCAGAATAGATTAATTGTTCTTGAACACCTGTTTTTTTTCCTAAAAAATAAGAGGATACAATCCCACCCCATCGCAAAATACTACAAGCAGAACAGACTTAAACAGTTTTAAGACAAGTTCAAATCTCAAATGAGAACTCAAGTTTATCATTTTGAAATGGTTCACAGGATATTTATCAACCTTCCAAATAAACTTGGAACATATTATATGTCCCCTATCCAAATGAAGCCTGTTTTGGTTTGATATGAAATCTACCAGATACCTTCAATTACTTATCTTTCCCATTACTTAAAAATGGCAGTCAAGTCATTTTGTATAGAACTATAGAAAAGGTGATTATGAGAATATTCTGGGACCAGTTATCTGGTTTCCATGTGATATTGAATTAATCATACAACTATTGTTTCAATAATTCAATGGTTTCGATAATTCAATTATTCCATTTACTTTTGCCTTTGTTTTTTTAAATTGTTCACTCTAGATTAAATTTTGCATTATAAGCCTTTCAGAGACAGACTTTATTTTGTTATTGTCCATAATCAGGAACATACCATTAAATTTTAATGGCTGAGATGTCTGACTTTTTGTGAAATACAGTGGTACAGATTGCACAAACTGGTGCATGAACCCAAGACAAAAACTCAATTAGATTTCCTTTATTTCAATTATATCTAATATTAATAAAATTTTAAATAAATTAATATAATTCTTCTATCATGTGTATAATAATGGAGTATTATTTGATAATTTGGGGGGAGGCCGCATCAAAGGCTTTTGGAGAGCCAAATGTGTTTCACAGACTGATGTTGCACATTTCCATTATACAGAACTAGGCTTATACATTGACATTAATATAATTGAAAGGTGGAGAAGAGGTGTTGTCTTACCTGAACGCCTTTTCTCTGCATGATGATGGAGACTCCACTAGTGGGTTGTCTTAATCTTGTTGCTCCAATAAGATTAAGTCAGAGTTAAAGTCACTCCTCTACTGTGTCCCCATGTCCCAGTTTGAGACTGAGTCGATGTACAGACATTAGCCCATGCAACTGCATTTCCATTATTGGAATCAGGACCAACTGACTTTATCTGGGAGGGGGTGGAGTCTCCATCATCATGCTGAGAAAAGGCATTCAGGTAAGACAACGCCCCTTCTCCAGCATGATTGGATGGAGACTCCACTAGTGGGACTTACCAAAGCCTTGTGTCCTTAAGGGAGGGAGTCAGTTTGGGCCTGTGATGTTCTAGATGGCAATACTTTCTGCAAAACTCTGTGGCCAAAGGAGGCATCCAAAGATGCATATTGGTCAATTTTGTAATGATGGATAAAGGACGAAGGGGAAGACAATGTGGCCGCTCTGCAAATTTCCCCTATAGAAGCCCGTGTCACCCAAGCTGCAGAAGTAGCAGTACCCCTGGTTGAATGGGCCGTAATATTTCTAGGGACCGGTAATGACTGGTTCTTGTATGCCAGGGCAATACAAGACCTGATCCACCTTTCTATAGTTGATGAAGAGACTTTCTGACCTTTGGCCAAAGGTTGGAAGGAGATGAACAAGGCCTCGGACCTTCGGAAAACCAAAGTCCACTTGATATAACACTGCAATGCCCTGCGGATATCCAGTGTGCTCCACTGGCTCTCAGTGTCCTGGGATGAGTCAGGACAGAAATCTGGTAAAACCACTTCCTGGGACCTATGGTACAGAGAGTTCACCTTGGGAACAAAGAAAGATCAAGCCTGAGGACTACCCTGTCTGGGAAGAAAATGCATAGGTCCTCCCTGATGGAAAGAGCGGCCAGTTCCGAAATACACCTGGCCGACGTGATTGCCACAAGGAATGCTACCTTCATTGATAACAAATCAAGTCTCCATAGGTTCAAAGGGGGTGCAATCAGAGCTTGTAAGACCTGTAAGGGGTATCGGTGAACTGGTGGTGGCTTGGCATTGTTAGCTCCCTTCAAGGAGGAACGAACCAAGGGATGGTGAGTCAGAGGGGTGGCATTTTCGCACATGAGGACAGTAGCGAGAGCAGCAACCTGTCTATGGATTGTGCTTGGGGATAGCCCTTTATCTAACCCATCCATCAGGAATTCCAGCACAATAGGAACCGAGACACCCGAGAGTTCCACCTTATGTCCTGCGCACCAATTGCAGAAACTCTTCCAAGTGGCATTATATATTCTGTTCATCAAGGCGTGCCTGGATTGTTGAATCACAGCTATCACCCTCGATGAATATGAGTCATGGCTCAAGGCCTGCCTTTCAAGTGCCAAACGGTTAGATTGAGCCACTGCGGGTCCGAGTATGACCTGCCGGAATCCTCCATGGGGGTGAGACGGATAGTTCCACCAGGTCCGCGAACCATGGTCGTCATGGCCAATGAGGAGTGACCAGGAGAACTTCCGCCCGCTCATGTAAAATCCTGCAGATCGTGGCTGGAAGGAGTGGAAAGGGAGGGAAGGCATAAAGCAGTTCCCTGGGCCAGGGACTGCGAAGGGCATCTATCCCCTCTGCTGATGGAACCTGGAAAGGAACCTTGGTAGTTGTGAGTTGGTTGGGGAGGCAAAAAGGTCTAAGGTTGGGGCACCAAACTTGTCCACGATCTCCCTGAACACTCCCGGGTCCAGACGCCATTCGCCATGGTCCACGGTGGCTCTGCTTAGCGAGTCCGCCTGGTGATTTGTCGCCCCAGATATGTGCTTCGCCTTGATGGAAGCAAGGTTCAGCTCTGCCCAAGACCCCAATCATCCGGCCTCCTGCATAAGGGGTCTGGACCTTGTCCCCCCCTATCTGTTTACGTGGGCCTTGGCAGCTATGTTGTCTGTAAGCACTAATACGTGCTGACCCGCTATCACATTTTTGAAATGTTGTAGTGCCAGATGAATGGACCTGAGTTCCAGCCAGTTGATATTGTTTAATAGGTCCTGTTGGGACCACCGACCCTGAGCCCATTGCAACTGGAGGTGTGCTCCCCAGCCGAATGGGCTGGCATCTGTGGTGAGGACAGTTCTGGCTGATTCCTTGACTCTGTGCCCCGTGCCAGTGCCGGAGAAGCCACCATCGAAGGGAGTTCGACGCCGACTGCGGAACTCGAACCTTCTGCCTGGAAGCACTGATGCGTAGTTTCTGAAAGGGAAGAAGGACCCACTGCAGTTTCCGGACATGAAGACGGGCCCATGGTACAATATGCACACAGGACACCATTTTCCCTAACAGCTGGGATAATAAGGCTAAAGTGACTACCTTGTCCTGAATTCTTTGCCCAAGGGCCCTGATGCTATCCTGTCGGTCCTGGGACAAATAGACCATGCAGTTGCTGGTGTCTATTACTGCCCCTAAATGAAGGAGCCGGGTTGAAGGTATAGTATGGCTTTTCTGGAAATTTATAGAAAACCCATGCTCCTGAAAGATCCTAATAGCCAGAGCAAGGACTGTATTAAAATGTCATCTAAATAACATTGGACACGGACCAGGATCTCTCTGAGGTGAGCTGCCAGCACTGCCAGTACCTTTGTAAAAACTCTAGGAGCTGCGGATAGGCCGAATGGTAGGCTCTATACTGGTAGTGCTGGTGATTGTAGCAAAATCTGAGGAATTTGCAATGCCCAGGGAGAATAGGAATATGGAGATAGGCTTCAGTTAAGTCTATTGATGTTAGGAAATCTCCCCACCGGATGCTGGCCAAAATTGACTGTAATGATTGCATTTTGAACTTCCTGTACATCAAGTAACGATTTAATTTCTTTAAATCAAGGATTGTCCTCCAGCCACCTGAAGACTTAGGAACAACAAACAGTGTTGAGTAGAACCCCTTCCCTGCCTGGTCTTGCGGGACCGGTTCTATGGCCCGTATTTGTAACAGGTGGGAAATGGCTTCCGACATGAGGGTCACTCTACTCCTACTAATGGGGGCGAGGCAACTCCGGAAATGGTCCGGAGGATGTGCCCGAAACTCTAACATTAAACCTTGTGATATAGTGTTGAGAACCCAAGAATCTGTAGTTGTGGCTGCCCATGCATTATAGTAAAGGGACAGACGGCCTCCTATGGGAGGTATGCTTGTGGGATCACTTGCCTCTTCTGAGGGAGCGAGCTCCCTGGCCTCAAAATGGCCGCTTGCCCTGGAATTGTGGTCAGGTTCTAGGCATAGGACGATCTTGCTGTCACTCCAATCTTTGATAGAAGGAGTGATTGGACTGAGGCCAGTCCCAGCTAGGGTTGGACCGAAAGGACTGTCTGTGATGGAAGACCTGGGTCGAACCGGCCCCTGTGTGCTTGTCTCCCTTCTTATTAGTATTAACTAGAGACTTGCGCTTATCCTTACCTTCAATCAGGTAGGGTTCTAGGGCTGCACCAAAGAGATGACCCCCCCCCACGTATGGTTTAGTGGCGAGACACCACTTGGCCTTGAGGTCTGCCCGCCAGTTTTTAAGCCACAGGAGTCTGCGGGCTGAAACATCCGCTGCAATGGCACTTGCGGAGTACCTGGCAGAATTTAATGAGGCATCAGCCAAGTACTGAGAAGTGGCAACTAGCTTGCCCATGTTATGATGGAAGCAAAGCTGGTCAAGTGGAACCAAGCCCTGAAGCTTGTGCAGCATAGAACTGAAGCTCTGGCGAAGAAGGCCATGGATGTTGACGCCTTAATCACCCAGACCATCGCCTGATGTGATCTGCGTAATGCCATTTCAATCCTTTTATCCTCAGCCTTAAGTGCTTCCGGTATGTCCCCTGGTATATTGATGTTGGGGAACAGTGACATCAGAGGCTCATCCACCTAAGGGACCTCCAGCAAGGAGGCGAGGGCAGGGGCTACACTGAACATGCTCTTCTCAATGGAACATGGCATTTGGGCCCTTTGAGGTGGAAGGGGCCACGGCCCCCTGTTTTGGTGTAAGGTTGGCTGTGGTGCAAGCCTTGAGAAGCAAGGAATTGAAGAGGGAGTGATCGAAGAGTCCGGTAGGTGGTACTGAGTACAGTGCCGGAGTGACCTCATCATCCAATAGGATCAGATGAGAGGAGTCATAGTCTTCTGATCCTGACTCTGATGAGGTGTCCTCTATGAGGTCTGGCGAGCCTGGGTGAAGCGGAGGCTGTGAGGCTGGTACTTGAGGCAGATGGTGTGGGACAGAAGTGGCCATGAACTGAGTCAGAGCCTGAGTGATCATGGCCTGAACCTGTTCCGCTCCTAAAGGTTGAACCTCTGTGGAGTGGAGTCCTGCTGCCGTGGGTGTAAAGGTGGCTGAAGGCCCCTCCCTGCACTGGCTAGCAGACACCTGCATCATTAATTCCAATGCTGCCCTGTCAGGATCAGACTGCACTGTTTCTTTAGGAGGAGACCAGGCCCCTGGGGCAGAATTACAGTAAGCTGACAGAGGTTCAAAAATGGACCCACCAGAAGGGATGGTGTCCATGGCCCCAGGAATAGTTGGCCTAGACCTAGATGAATCCTGTTCCAAAGATTGCTGAGGGGCAGGATTCTCTCTGCTATTGCTCTTGGGCTTCCTGGAGGACTTTGCCCTGGGTTTGGATGTGTTCCACCCTGTTGCCTCAGTAGAGGCGTTTTGTCTCCTCTTGGAAGGGGGCTCTGCATTATCTTGTGAGGATGAGGGATAAGAATTGTCCACCATAGTCCTGGGCCTATCTGCTGTTAAGATTAATAACTGAAGTAACAGGCCTCAGGTAAATCAATTCAGTGGTAAAGCGCCCCCCTCGAGTGTTGTAATCAGCCACTGAAGATCCGATCTGATGAACATTGCACCCAGGTGAGGGGGGGTGAGGGGGTCAAATAAGGCATGCGTCCCTACAGGGATGAGCTTGCCCTCCCCAGGCCGGACTGCAGCCAATGACTAGGCCCGAATACAAAATGGATGCTGCAACAAAATGGTGGCTGTGAGAATCGTGCCAAAACTTCTCCAGGCCAAACTGCCTCAAACTGTGAAACACAGCTCAGATGAGGCCAAAACTTCTCCAGGCCAAACTGCCTCAAACTGTGAAACACAGCTCAGATGAGGCCTTTAGAAACGCGCCCGGCTCCAGCAGGAAGCGCCTGGGCTCCTTTAAATGGTAATTGGAATCTGACCTGAATATCTCCATGTCCCTCGAAGCTGTTGCTGTGCTGGTCTCTAGATGAGCTCGATGCTCTGCTTTCCCAGGCCTAAGAGGCCGAGGCCTCCTTGCTCATGAGGAGCCCAATTCGGCCCAGTTAAGATTTAACTGTAGGGCAGAGGCTAAGTGGGAAAGAAAGGAATAGTTTTCTCTCCAATAGATAGAAGTTTATCAGAAATAGTCTGAGCTACGAAAAAACATGTCTTAGGAGCAAAAGACTAAGTCTAAACTGGGACATGGGGACACAGTAGAGGTGTGACTTTAACTCTGACTTAGTCTTATTGGAGCAGCAAGATTAAGACAACCCACTAGTGGAGTCTCCATCCAATCATGCTGGAGAACCTCTGGATTCCAGGCTTCAGAAGGTGCTCATGACAAAACTGTCCCATGACATTAGCGATAAAAGATTTTGAAACATGTTTTTGTCCAATATTCTTATGGCGGTTCAACAAAGAGACAGGAGTCTCTTTTTGGGAGACTTCTCTTATCAATTTATAAAAATAGGAAACAAAGGAAAAGAATATTTCATTTTTCATCAAGAGGCAAAGATTTAATGTCCTTTGCTGAAAAATACGGACTGTGATGGCTAGTTTGCTGCCCAAAGTCATTGAATGTTGTGTAGCATACAACTTACTATGATTTGTCACACAGCAAGATATTTAGACTGGGTTTGACATTTTTGTTTCCCAATGGAGTCCCTCTCAAGGACCTGGGATAAGTAGATATTGTTGTTTGATGGTATTAAAGGTATTGTCCAGGATGGTTATTCCATGCATTTTGTAATTGACTAATCTGACATTGTCACAGCCAATGGTGTTCAAATGGAAACCAGGTGTTAGTGATTGCACCCAAGGTGGCTGTTATTATTGATACTATTTTTGCTTACTTTTGCCACCATTCTATTTTTATTTGCAGGCCTTTGTATTTTGTTATTTTCTCCATATTTTCCTTTTCTATTCTGCTGTTTCTAGATATTGCTATGTCCACTATCCACACCTTTATGTTTTCTTATCTACATTTATAGTCTGTGGTGTTGTGTGGCAGATATTTGTCTGTTCAAATTCTAAAGTCCCAGAGGGCTTTACCTTCTTCATTTTCTTCCAGTTTGTCTGTTTTGTGTACCACCAGTTCTTGCCCGCAGGCAAATATATTTCTTGTAGATATCTCAGTGCATGATTGTGGCTACTTTGTCATGCCATGGTTATAGTCAGTCTCTGCTAGCTCCTTGCAGCAGCTGAGCTGATAGGCTACTTTGCAAATATGCTGTATATCTAGCTAAATGCCAAACAAGCAAACAATAGAGAGCACAACCAAAAAGATGAGATAGATAGATAGATAGATAGATAGATAGATAGATAGATAGATAGATAGATAGATAGATAGACAGACAGACAGACAGACAGACAGACAGACAGACAGACAGACAGACAGACAGACAGACAGACAGACAGACAGACAGACAGATAGATGAAAAATAAAGGGAAAGGAAAGAGGAATATTGAATTAGTCCCAAGAATCAAAACATAGCTGTATGGTAGAAAAGTATTTTATCACAAGCAAGATGAAAAGTTTGAATGTAATCAAAAAAAGTATAGACTCCATAATAACCTCTCAGAAACAACACCTGTTACATATTGCAGTTGCCATAATAAATAAAAGAATTTACCTGGAAAGCATTACCTGCCAATGTAGCTGTTTGGGGGAATCTAACATAGGTAGAAGATAAGATTTAACCTGGGTGGAAGATAAGAACATTTTATGCAAAGCATGTGCTATGGCATGGACTGCATTGTAGATGCTGTAGCTTTGACTGGTCATAGTCATTTCAAAGAGAGTTCCAGGAAGATTTTCCAAGTTCTCATTTCCAGTGCAAGAATTATTGCTCTTTTTGCCTTCATTAGAATTAGGAAATAGGCAGTTGAATGCTTGTTTCCAGAAGATTCTGATAAACCCATCTTCTTTTGACCAGATAGGGTGAAGAGAATGCAAAAATTCTGTAAATCCCAGCACTTCTTTTGAATGACTTGCCAAAGACAATGCACCATGGAAAACATGTATATCAAAATCTCGGTGAAATGTCTCTGATGAGAAATCCCACTGTGCTGTCATAAGCCACACCTTACCTATGGTTAGTTGTGTTGGGCTTTCTAAGCTTCCATAAAGATATAGCAGCCATTTCAAGCATGCCATGGCTTGAGAATCTGCATTTACAATATAGACCTTAACATCAGGTTTGGATAATGAAGCAGCCATAGCAACAAGAGGTTCAAATGAGTCAAAATTCTCTAAAACACCAGAAAGGGTTAGCGTTCTTTCAATAATTGCTGCACAGATTGCATTCTGGGAAAGCATGGGTAACATCGTCTGCACAAATTTTTCTCCTTTATCATCATCTGGTGAAACAATTCCAATCCATTTCCATTGGAAAAAAAGGAGAAGCTGAATAAGTCCCATGTATTGATTTGTTTCACTAGGATTCATCCGATAGAAAAAAGGGAGCTGTGTTTTAACATTCATCACTGGAGCAAACACACAGCAAGCAATCTAAGCAAAAATATATTAAAAGAACAAAAGAAGGGTAAATGATAACAAGTTATCTTGAATTATTCAAAAACTATTAGCATTCTCATGTCTGTTCATTATTTGTAACCTTCAATTGGGTAGAACGATTTATCATAGGACAATATTTTTTCAATCAATGTATATCAGATAGGCTAACTTAAAGAATGCATGAAGAAGATGGGACACATTACTTCCTTGGGATAGAAATTTCACAGTGTTATAGCTTCAAAATCATCATTTTCAGTGCTCTCTGGCAACTTCCTACAAGAAAAGTCAATGGAGAAGTCATATACATATACATATACATAATAATAATAATAATAATAATAATAATAATAATAATAATAATAATAATAATAATAATAATAATAATAATAATAACAACAACAACAAAAAAACAAAAACAAAAACAACAATAATAAAGTTGGAAGGGACCTTGGAGGTCATCTAATCCAACCACCTATTCAGGGAGGAAACCCTATACCATTTGAGACAAATGGCTGTCCAGTCTCTTCTTAAAAACTTCCAGTTTGGCACATTCACTGCTTCTGGAGGCAGGTTGTTCCACTGGTTAATTGTTCTAACTGTCAGGAAGTTTTCTCTTAATTCTAGGTTGCTTCTCTCCTTGATTAGTTTCCATCCATTGCTTCTTGTCCTGCCTTCAGGTGCTTTGGAAAATAGCTTGACTCCCTCTTCTTTGTGGCAGCCCATGAGATATTGGAACACTGCTATCATGTCACCCCTTGTCCTTCTCTTCATTAAACTAGAGATACCCAATTCCAGCAGCCGTTTCTTATATGCTTTAGCCTCCAGTCACCTAATCATCTTTGTTGCTCTTCTCTGTACTCTTTCTAGAGTCTCAACATCTTTTTTA